CAGCCACCATGCTGGGCCTATGGTATGATAATTCAATGCCCACTTCATTCTTTGCTTGAGGTGTCCCTTGTATTTTGCTGACCTTGTTCTTAGTTTCAAAAGGACTTCATTTCTTTTGCAGACATAGAAATTTTGTCATTCTTATGAAAGCAGTGTGGCTGTTCTGGTGGTGTTATTTCTTGGCAGGCAATACCTCCACAGATACCAATGAGCATGGCTGAAGTGAATGTCAGACATTCTATTTCTGTCTGTCCCTGGCCCAGCAACCGCTGACACACCTGGGGCAACCTGCTTTAACCAACGTGTGGCCCAGGAGGAGGCCCCACCTCAGCGGAACTTTGATGCATGTCTAATGACTGACTTGAAGACCTTGTTCTTGGAAACTACAGGGCTGACATTTAAGTGTCACCCATGAAATCTGCCTCAAGGTTCAATGCTGATATTTGCTACCAATTTCGGCTTTATAATCTTGGAGTATTCTCTTTGCTTTCTACAGCTTTAAATACCATCCTACAAAGCATAAAGCCATTAGTGACCTGTTATTCTGCCAAAAGACACATACACTTTGTTGATGCCCACTGTTTTCTTTTTCTTCTTCTATGGTAAGCACAGACCTCTTCCATTTAGGTAGACAGACCTCTGTTTGTAGGCAATCGTCTGCTTGTCTGCCATGTTATTGGTTCAGTCATGGCTCATATCCACCCCTCTGCCTTTTCAGTTTCTGGTGTTTTCTTGTTTTGTTTTGTTTTGTTTTGTTTGAGACAGAGTCTTGCTCTGTTGTCCAGGCTAGAGTGCAGTGGCATGATCTTGGCTCACTATACCTCCACCTCCCAGGTTCAAGCAATTCTCCTGCCTCAGCCTCCTGAGTAGCTGAGATTACAGGCACCTGCCACCATGCCCGGCTAAGTTACTGTATTTTTAGTAGAGACAGGGTTTCACCATGTTGGCCAGGATGGTCTCAAAATTCCTGATCTCAAGTGATAGGCGCCCAGCCTGCCTTTTCAGTTTGGAAAATAGGTTATCTTGTTTGGCAAATAGCAAGACATCAAAGAGCACATAGACAAAGTAACCAACCACTGGATCTAAGAAACTTTTGCCCACATGAAAGAACTAATTTTATTTTATGTCACTTATTTATTTTTGAGACAGGGTCCCGCTCTGTTGCCCAGGCTGGAGTACAGTGGAATAATCATGGCTCACTGCAGCCTTGACCTCATAGGCTCAAGCAATCCTCCCAACTCAGCCTCCCAAGTAGCTGGGACTACAGAGACACACCACCATGCCCAGCTTTTTTTTTTTTTTTTTTTTTTTTTTTAAAGACAGCATCTCTCTCTGTTGCCAAGACTGGAGTGCAGTGTCTCCATCTCAGCTCACTGCAGCCTTGACTGAGCCTTATTCAGGGTCAGCTGATCCTCCATCTGCCTCCTGAGTAGCTGGGACTATAGGTGCAAGCCACCACACCTGGCTAATTTTTGTAGAGATAGGGTTTCACCACTGCCCAGACTGGTCTTGAACTCCTGGTTGAAGCAATCTGCCTGTCTCAGCCTCCCAAAGCACTGGGATTCCAGATGTGAGCCACCATACCTGGCCTAATTTTTAAATTTTTTGTGGAGGCAGGATCTGTGTTGCACAGGCTGATGAATTGATTGATTGTAAAAGAGCAAATCATTAAGTTTGAAATTACCCTTAAACTTCTGCTCTTATTCTCTACCAAAAACAGTTTTCCAAACATCTGTTTGGGTCCAGAAAGGAGACCTCAGCACCATCTTAGCTTTTACAGGAAGGCTTTGTGATGAAGTTACTGATTACCTGTATCCACAATGGGCCAAGTGCAAACTGGGCCCAATTACTCTGATATCAAGTCATTTTTTTTAAGATGGAGTCTCATTGTGTTGCCCAGACTGGAGTGCAGTGGCACAATCATAGATCATAGCTCACTGTAACCTCAAGCTCCTGGGCTCAAGTGGTTCTCATGCTTCAGCCTCCCAAGTAGCTATGACAACAGGTATGTGCCACTATGTCCAGCTACATCAAGTCTTGGAAAGTTCTGCAGTCTGCATCATGGTGGTAATTATAAATTCATGTTTATAAACTGCAAAGACTTCAGGGCTACTTGTTTTCTCTCTTTTTTTTTTTAAGACAGGGCTTTCACCATGTTGGTCAGGCTGGTCTTGAACTCCCAACCTCAGGTGATCCGCACGCCTTGGCCTCCAAAATGCTTGGATTACAGGCGTGAGCACCACGCCCGGCCGACTTCAGGGTTACTTTTGCATAAGTTTGCAATACCAGCAGTCTCTGTACCTAAATTAACACTGATGTTGAATTTGATCAGAAATCAGGCAAAGAAAAGGGAGAGGTCCAGATAAGAGAGTACTGAATATACTCCCTGGCAAATCTGGATACAGACGAGAAAAGGGATCCAGTAACTTCTACTGTTTTCAAATATACCATTAAATATGTAAGGTATGATGCTCCTTCATCTAATTCAGTCCGTCTTGTTTTATTGGTAGTGTTTGTTTTCTTTTGTTTTGTTTTTGAGACAGATCTCACTCTGTTGCCAGGCTGGTGTGCAGTGGCACAATCTAGGCTCATTGTAACCTCTGCCTCCCGGGTACAAGCGATTCTCCTGCCTCAGCCTCAGGTGTAGCTGGGATTACAGGGTCTCATTATGTTGCCCAGGTTGGTCTTGAACTCCTGGGCTCAAGTGATCCTCTCACCCCGGCCTCCCTATGTGCTGGGATTGCAGGTGTGAGCCACTGTGGCTGGCCTAGGTTTTCTTGTTTTGAACTCTCAACTCCTTATAATTCTTCGTCAGCCCACTTATTACTCTGTTAATTTATTATTTAATGTCTTCTTCGAGTACTAAAGTAGCCCTGTGGGGACAGCAATCCTTTCTGTCCTAATTACTTCTTAATTACACTACATCTAGCTTAGAGCCTAGCAAAGAGCCTGGCACAGAGCCTGGCACATAGCAGGTGCTCAAAAAACGTTTGTTAATGGATTGCTTGTATCCCTACAGATCGTGTACTATACAGGGTCTCATAACATGGAGGTTTTGTTAAAGTCTGTCTCAGTCAGGCAAACGTGGCTTAGGGGATCATGCCCATTCTGTGGCATTAATGCTCAAGATGCTTATTTTTCTGCACATTTAACGTGAACATGGATTTGGACTCTGTTTTCACAGATAAATGAACCAGTCATTCTGGGGCTTAAGAGCATGGCACCATTTTCTTTTCTTTTTTTTTTTTTTTTTTTTTTTTTGAGACAGAGTCTCCCTCTGTCGCCCAGACTGGAGTGCACAGTGGCATGATCTCAGCTCACTGCAACCTCTGCCTCCCGAGTTCAAGTGATTCTCCTGCCTCAGCCTCCCAAGTAGCTGGGATTATAGGCACGCGCCACTATACCTGGCTGATTTTTTGTATTTTTAGTAGAGACGGGGTTTCACTGTGTTAGCCAGAATGGTCTCAATCTCCTGACCTCAGGATCCACCCACCTCAGCCTCCCAAAATCCTGGGATTACAGGTGTGAGCCACCACATCTGGCACACGGGGCATTTTCACTGCAAACTCCTACCCACTGATTGCAGGAGGGGAAGCTTGGATAAGTGTCTGATTCTGGGATCCCATGTCTGGAAGGCTGCTCCATTATCTCACATGGGCTGCTTACAAGGGCCTTGGGGTGCTCATCTCAAAACCATCATATGAACACACACACACACACACACACACACACACACACACACACACAATTTTTCTTTCAGTATTAGGAACCTGAATTCTGGCTTGGCACAGTAGCTCATGCCTGTAATCCCAACACTTTGGAAGGCCAAAGTGGGCAGATCACAAGGTCAGGAATTCAAAACCAGCCTGACCAATATGGTGAAACTCCATCTCTACTAAAAATACAAGAACTAGCCAGGCATGGTGGCACGCGCCTGTAGTCCCAGCTACTCAGGAGGCTGAGATAGGAGAATCGCTTGAACTCGGGAGGCAGGAGGTTGCAGTGAACCAAGATCATGCCGCTGCACTCCAGCATGGGTGATAGTGTGTCTTTGTTTCAAAAACAAAAATGAACAAAAAAAGAAACCTAAATTCTTTCTTTGGTAAGCACAGACTTCTTCCTAATCAGCTATTCATCAGAATATGCATTTCTTATCCTTAAAAATTCAACCCTTTAAAAAGAAAAAAAAAAATAAACGATTTATATTCTGTGAAAAAACAGGAGGTAGGGAATAGTTAATGCTGGTCATTTGGGGATTATCAGAGAAATGCTATATTTCATCAGACCTGTTTGCATAAGGTGCATCCAATTTCAGACATGTTAAACTGTGTGTGTGTGTGTGTGTGTGTGTGTGTAGCTGGGTACAGTGGCTCACGCCTGTAATCCCAACGCTTTGGAAGGCCGAGGTGGGCAGATCACAAGGTCAGGAGTTCAAAACCAGCCTGACCAATATGGTGAAACTCCATCTCTACTAAAAATACAAAAATTAGCCGGGCATGGTGGCAGGTGCCTGTCGTCCCAGATATTCAGGAGGCTGAGGCAGGAGAATTGCTTGAATCCAGGATGCAGAGGTTGTAGTGAGCTGCACTCCAGCCTGGGCAACAGAGTGAGACTCCATCTCAAAAAAGAAAATTGTGTGTGTATGAAGGGTTGGGGGATGCATTCTACAGTTGATGACATGCAGTAAACACTATAGGAAGAAGCTACCGCCAGATATTTTCATGAAGTCGGTATTGAAAAAAGGAGTCTCAGTGAAATCACTCAACTAGAGCTCGGTCATTCTTTTTGGCTGTGGGAGTCCTCTGAGGACATTTGTGCTTACAAACATACTAGGCACTCTGGCCTAGTAAATTAAACAAACACAACAATATGTTTGTAAAACGGAAAACAAAGGGGGTGGCAAGGGTCAGCATTTTGATGTCACTATGTGATGTTTGCCCACTTTTCTCCGCCCCTGGGTTATGTGCATTTGCATCATGGCAAAGATGATGCCAACTTACCAAGCCTCCTCAGTGTGCCAAGGATTGCTGATCTCTACTGGGTGACCTGACGCAGGGTCTCCTTCCAAGGCCTCTGTTACCTGAGCTGTGAAATGAAAAAGATAACAATACTGACCCAAGGACCGGTGCTGAGAAGTCCAAAGTTAGTGATCACTAAATGGAATGCGGGGAGGAGGTGAGAAGAACGAACGTAGTGTTTTGCTAATATCACAGACCATTGTGTGCGCATGGAACTACAAGGGAAGCTACATAACCAGGCAATATAGGAAATCTCCACCGGCCCATATATACATGGAGAAAATAGGTCACATCCGTTTGCCAACTCTGCAAAACTATTCTGTTTCATATTAATTAAAGGACATTCCAGGAAAGAAAATCTCACTATGACAAAGAGAGAAAGGAGAGTCTTATACCTGTAATCTCAGCACTTTGGCAGGCCGAGGTGGGAGCATCACTTAAGCCCAGGAGTTTGAGACCAGCCTGGGCAATATAGTGAGATCCAATCCCTACAAAAAAAAATTTAAAATTAGCCGGATGCCTATGGTCCCAGCTAGCTGGGGGGACTGAGGTGAGAGGATCACTTGAGCCAGAGATCTGAGGCTGCAGTGGGCTATGATCATTCCACTGCACTCCAGCCTGGGAAACAGAGCAAGAGCCTGTCTTTAAAACAGAGAAAGAGGCCGGGCACGGTGGCTCGAGCCTGTAATCCCAGCACTTTGGGAGGCCGAGGCGGGTGGATCACGAAGTCGAGAGATCGAGACCATCCTGGTCAACATGGTGAAACCCCGTCTCTACTAAAAATAAAAAAAACTAGCTGGGCCTGGTGGCGCATGCCTGTAATCCCCGCTACTTAGGAGACTGAGGCAGGAGAATTGCTTAAGCCCAGGAGGCGGAGGTTGCGGTGAGCCGAGATCGCGCCATTGCACTCCAGCCTGGGTAACAAGAGCGAAACTCCGTCTCAAAAACAAAACAAAACAAAACAAAACAAAACAAAAAAACAGAGAAAGAGAGACTGGGCACAACGGCTCACGCCTGTAATCCCAGCACTTTGGGAGGCTAAAGCCGGTGGATCACCTGAGGTCAGGAGTTCAAGAGCAGCCTGGCCAATGTGGTGAAACCCTATCTCTACTAAAAATTAAAAAAAAAAAAATTAGCCGGGCGTGGTGGCGGGCACCTGCAATCCCAGCTACTTGGGAGGCTGAGGCAGGAGAACCACTTGAACTTGGGAGGCAGAGGTTGCAGTGAACCAAGATCACGCCATTGTACTCCAGCCTGGGCAAAAACTCTGTCTCAAAAAAAGAGAGAGAGAGAGAGAGAGAAAGAGAAGAGGAAATATAAACAGTGGACCAACAGGGAAGAGCAGCTCACAGGTTTGACCTGGTACTTGACACTCCACTCTACTGCTTGCTAGCTGGTTTATCTGGGGCATTTTACTCAACCTCTCTGAACCTCTGAGTTTTTCTCATCTACTATGGGCCTAATAGTACCCATTTGCTGGAGACACTGTGATGACAGATATGAAGCCCTGCAGGCCTGGCACACAGAGAAAATATTCAATGAAGAGCAGCTATGATTATTACGCTCATTTAAAATTCTCTCTGCAGAAGCACATTAATTTGTGGCCTTTTGGGGTTACTTGCCAAACACTCAAAATCATTTAAGTCACTGTGAGTTGTGTGGGTTTTAAATGTTCACCTTAGGAAGTCCTCTACAGCCAGCTAACGATTCAGTTTCATATTTTTAAGCAAATGCTTTTTGTTTTGTTTTGTTTTTTGAGATGAGTCTCACTCTGTCGCCCAGGCTGGAGTGCAGTGGCATTACCTTGGCTCACTGCAACCTCTGCCTCCCGGGTTCAAGTGATTCTCCTGCCTCAGTCTCCTGAGTAGCTGGGACTACAGGCGTGCACCACCACGCCCGGCTAATTTTTGTATGTTCAGTAGACACAGGGTTTCACCATGTTGGTCAGGCTGGTCTTGAACTTCTGACCTCGTAATCCACCTGCCTCGGTCTCCCAAAGTGCTGGGATTACAGGCGTGAGCCACCGTGCCCAGCAAGTAAATACTTCTGATTAGCTAGGTTCCGTATGGAAGATTTTATTATACTACCGTTCCACCAAGAATAAATAAAGCTGTGACAAGTGTCTCATTCCTGCCATCCCCTCCAAGAAAGACTACAACATACCTCTTGGATAAGAAAATACTGGGTTGTGCTAACTCCTGAGGTCCAGGTCAGTAATCATTTGTTACAAAGTTCTTCCCAATGCAATGGCCAAATTAACTAAGGTTGAGCTTCTGATTAACACACAGTGCTGGAAGGAACTTTGACCCACAGAAACCTGGCATTTGACCTGCTTCTCTGAGTCCAACCTGTGTCACGAGTGCCCATTTCAAGGGTAATAAAGGACCTGGCTGTTTGCTTACAGCAAATGGAAGTGGCGCCATGTCATTATACAGCTTTTACCTAGCCCTTGGCAAAGAAAGTTTGCAGCCCACACATCAGTTTTCGGAGTCACAGAATGAAAGGGTATGGATTTCCAAACCGAAAAGCACCTAAGTCCTACCTGGCATTCGGACTAAATGTTACTTGCTTAAGAAACATCGATACCGTGCCAAGATCAAAGTGGCCAGGGTGGAGATCAGGTGTTTGAGCAGGTGCACATTATAACCATCCAGATTCTGCCTCAGTGAACAAACTGCTTTCTCTGCTAGCTCCTGGGTTCCCTTTTAGTGACATGTTATAAAACAGGAATCAGATGCAGGGAATAGACCACAGTACTTGAGAGTTCATGTCTCTTCCTGTTCTAGGATACACAGTGCTCCTCCCCACCCTGCCAAATCCATAAACTAGAGTTCTAACCCCTACTAACTCACAGTGTGACTATATTTGGAGATAGGGTCTTTAAATGGGTAATTAAGTGAAATCGTGGGGATGGGCCCTACTGCAATATACCAGTGTCTTTATAAAAAGAGGAAATTTGCCTGTAATCCCAGCACTCTGGGAGGCCGAGGCAAGTGGATCACTTGAGTTCAGGAGTTTAAGACCAGCCTGGCCAACATGGTGAAACCTCGTCTCTACTAAAAATACAAAAATTACCCAGGTGTGGTGGTGCACGTCTGTAGTCCCAGCTACTTGGGAGACTGAGGCAGGAGAATCGCTTGAACCTGGGAGGCAGAGGTTGCAGTGAGCCGAGATCGTGCCACTGCACTCCAGCCTGGGCAACAAGAGCGAAACTCCTTCTCAAAAAAAAAAAAAAAAAAAAGAAGAAGAAGAGGAAATTCAGACACAGACAACACAGACCAAGGGATTACTGTGTGAGGGCACAGTGAGAGGGTGGTCATCTGCAAGCGAGGCAGAAAAGTCTTGAGGTAAACCAACCCTGCAGTCACCTTCATCTTGGCCTTCCAGCCTCTACAGCCATGAGAAAATAAATGTCTGCTATTGAAGCCACCTGGCCCGTGGTATTTTGTTATGGCAGCCCAAACAAAGAAATATGCTGCCCCTCCCACCCCCACATCCCCCAACCTCATCTCCCAGGATCAGCTAAGTTGCAGATGATTAAGGAGTTCAAGGGCATGATAATCAGAGTGGGTTGACTGTGCAATTAATCAGTGGTAAACGGGAAAGCACATGCTTTATCCACAAGTATCAGATTTGAAAACCTCAAAATGCTATGAGACCATACAAAAGGCCATGGCTTGATGATGCCCTTCAGGTTGCAATCCCTGGGCTAAACCGTTACATTATGATATTTAAAAACATTCTATATATATATATATATATATATATATATATATATATATATATTTTGTTTGTTTGTTTGTTTGAGACGGAGTTTCTCTCTTGTTACCCAGGCTGGAGTGCAATGGCGCGATCTCGGCTCACCGCAACCTCCGCCTCCTGGGTTCAGGCAATTCTCCTGCCTCAGCCTCCTGAGTAGCTGGGATTACAGGCACGCGCCACCATGCCCAGCTACTTTTTTGTATTTTTAGTAGAGACGGGGTTTCACCATGTTGACCAGGATGGTTTTGATCTCTTGACCTCGTGATCCACCCGCCTCGGCCTCCCAAAGTGCTGGGATTACAGGCTTGAGCCACCGCGCCCGGCCCAACATTCACTATTTTTAGCAGAGATGGTGTTTCACCATGTTGGTCAGGCTGGTCCTAACCTTGTGATCCACTCGCCATAGCCGGGTGTGGTGGCACGTGCCTGTAACCCCAGCTACTCAGGAGGCTGAGGCAAGAGAATCACTTGAACCAAGCAAGTAGAGGTTGCAGTGAGCTGAGATCATGCCATTGCACTGCAGCCTGGGTGACAGAGAGAGACTCCATCTCAAAAAAACAACAACAGCCAGGTGCGGTGGCTCACACCTGTAATCCCAGCACTTTGGGAGGCCGAGGCAGGTGGATCACGAGGTCAAGAGATCGAGGCCATCCTGGTCAACATGGTGAAACCCCATCTCTACTAAAAATACAAAACATTAGCTGGGCATGGTGGCGCGTGCCTGTAATCCCAGCTACTCAGGAGGCTGAGGCAGGAGAATTGCCTGAACTCAGGAGGAGGAGGTTGCGGTGAGCCGAGATTGTGCCATTGCACTCCAGCCTGGGTAACAAGAGCGAAACTCTGTGTAAAAAAAAATAAAATAAAATAAAAAATAATAACAAAAAAACAAAAAAACCCATCCACTATTAACACTTACAACAAATATGAAATGAATATCTCCTACAGGCCAGGCCCTATGCCAGGTGATGGCAAGAGCAGTGGTGAATATGAGTATGTTCTATGCCTTTGTGGTATTACAGTCTGGATAGTGAGTCCAGGTGCTGAGCTAGGCTAGAAATATCAAGTTGAGAAGACAAAGTCACTGGCCTCCAGGAGGGTACAGATAAGTGAAGCACAGAGTTGGGACGAGACCATTATAAAACAACGTGACACCAGCTTTAATCCACAAGGGGCCCTGGAAGCTGGGAAGAAGACCCCACGTCTGTGTGGGCTAATCAGGGAAGATGTGAGCCATGTTCCGAAGGATGAGTAACAGTGTAGCCAGCTGATACGTCTGAAAGACAAGAGGGCGCTTTCCAGACAGAA